CCCTCGGGTAGGTTCCTCTGGGAAATTAGGTTTCCAGTAGCAGAGCACCGACAGAAATTCGCATAGTAAAAGTTTTCTTAAGCTGAAAATTTTGACAGTTAACTGCAGTACTTTTGTATCTTCTGTGGCGGTAAATACTGGTTGGACTGAACAAGCAAGAGCTGCTTTTGTTAAAACAGCAAACCCCTCAGTTCATTTTTAAATCCAGGGAAAGAAAAGACATCTGACGAGGCAATAACAGTAAGACAAGGATGCCTCCAGGTTAATCAATTATGAAATGAAAGAACAAAGACAAAATTAAAAATGATAAAACATCTGGCACATTTAACCAGGTTCCTGGGCCGACTTTGATTTGTTGTACCAGCAAAGTAAAAATTATTTTAGGGGCATAACCAGGAAGGATGACCTAAATATTAGAAATCTTTCACTGCCTTAATATTCTACCTCTATATCTATAGATCTATCTCTAAATATAGAGATGAGTTTAAAGAATGTCAGATTCCAAGAATACACACTGAGAACAAGACCTCATAGAGTCAATGGTGCACTCAGCCCTGAGCAGACTTCTTTCAGTATTATCTCTAAATTAAATGGGAAGCATATTTTGGCTACAGTGTTTTCTAATCATTTTACTGCACGACTATCTGCTCTATTTGAGTTTGTCGTAGCAGTAATTAGGTGGAGAGAATATATTCATACGATATAGGGAAAAAAGTATGGTGAATATTTTAATATTATTTTGAACTTATGAAATATCTAAGAAGTAGAGTTTATTATTGTATTTGAAAGGATTGAAACATACATGTTGCTTCAGTGTTGGGATGTAGGCATGCCTGATGTTCTTTATGGTAGTCATAACAACAACCAGCCACTTGAAGTAGCTAAGCTTCAGTTAGCAATCATCATTACTGATGCCAGCTGCCAGCCAACTTTCTTCTTCTACAACTAATAGACTGGTTATAAATGATGGATGAAACTACAGTGTGGGCTTCAAAGCAGAAGCCTTCTTGTTAGAGTGCAAAAACCCTGTCTGATATATTGACCTTGATATTTAGCTACTTGCTGATCTACTGGTGTCTGCATATATAACAACCGATAAATGGGATTTTAAAAAGTAAAAAAGAAAAGGGAGAAACAGCCTTCAACCATGTAATCCGGGCTGATATTACACATTTTGTCCACCAGGGGCACTCTGCAACTTGGCATCACACATGTTTGGAAACGCACAAACAAGGAACTGATCCTAGCAGAGTCAGGGAGGACGTAAACAAGTACTCCACAACTTCTTGTGACAATGAAATACATTTATTCTGCACCCCCATATTTCTATTATTAACTAAAAAAAACAATAAAAATACAAATAATTTCACATAAAAATATTTAGAATGTCTGTTTATATTTTTGATCAGCTGAAAGATTTTTAAAGCACCAAATATCTGTATCATTTTATATATAAGACAACACATTTTATCGTTCTAAAATATAAGTGGTGATCTGAGTAAAATAATAAATGGCAACAGAACCTAAATAAATCCCCCCAAAAAATGTAAGCAAGTTATTCATTTTTCTAATTTACACTAGTCTGTAGTTAGTAAGCTACTGCATCTACTGTGGCTGTTTAAAGCTGTGCTCATCTTTACTTTCCCTGCACTGCCTGTAAGCACACCTCCTCACACACCACATATATATGGAGTGGTGCTGACAAAAGACAGATGGAGCAAAATAATATTAATCTAGTCAATATTAATCAAATGTTCTCTAACCATGAGTGCAATAAAAGCAAATATTGCCTTGAACATAATGAAAGGGAGTGAAAGAGAGAGATAGAAGCGTCATCATCTGAGCTCTTCAGTTAAGTCGGAATACTTAACCACAGTTTGCAAATAAATCAAAAACTACCGCAAAAATAAGAAGAAAAGCTTTCGGTATCGCGGGTTTGAAAAACCTCCAAGATACTGAACCTTCAACATTACCTTCCTGCGTGGTATGTTAGCTCTCTTACTCCAAGCGAAAGCATGGCACACTTAAAGGCAGAGCAAGAAAGAACTGTATCAGTCGCACATATCGACCTGTCCCAGATACCCAGTGTTTTTAGTCAGGAGTGGAGCTGTACCAGTAGGCAGTAGGCCATATTATTAGTCAGATAATTCCAGGGTAGAGACATCCAGCTCAGTTCAACCATGGTGGGCTGTGATGCTGGGCCTCCACAGAGGGTAAAACTGCTATTGTACCAGGCTGTAATTATACTTTTTAATGTTGTTTGGTTGGGAATTTTACATGGAAGTCTTACTGCATTGTTTTTGGAATCATCCTCATGTGCCCATTAGGGGAACTGCAATTTTTGACATTCGTGTGGCAGTTTTCAGCTCAGAGGTTGCCGCTTGCTTTTCTTTCTTCTTGTTTTTTTGTAATTCTGATGTCTAACGACAGGCTGCACCAGTAGCTACCTTGCCCTCGTGTGATGCTTTCATAACATGAACTGACTCATGAAGCTTGAAAAGTTAAATTTTCACAGTGCAGAGTAAATAGAGGTGAGAGCTTCAAAATCAAACCTCTGATTGACGTGTTTACTGACCTTATGATGAAATCACTAGAGTCGATGAGGCCACCGTAATGGGACCCCTTCAGGTTCCCGGAGTTCCCCACGACGGCGCAAGTCCTGCAGCGCTCGGGACCGGCGTCCATGTAAAGCACCTCATCGGGGATGACTTGGAACAGCTCCTCCACCACTTCGTTGAAGTTGGCTGGCTGCCTCTCTGACTGCAACCACTGGTGACAGAGCACATGCAGGCCTCAGAGACAGACACTCAGCTCCAGGGCCACTTTAAGTAGAAGTGATTGAACAAGGGCAGTGGAGCTCAAGACACCGAGCACATTTCTGAAAGAACCTGAGGGGCGGCTTAGCTCCGTCTGCGGGGGCTCTTTTGGCCCTGCTTTCTTCTGGCAGCTTTGAACTCGGAGAGACAGCAAATAAGCGCAGGAATGTGCGTCTGCTGTCTGCTGAATGGATACAGGACATTCTACATCATTCTCAATTTTAAAGCATGGCTTTGGATACATGTGGTTCAAAAATTTTCCTTCAGCCTTTTTTATCATATTTAAACAACTGGGCAATAAGGTTTTAGGTAGACAGCAGGCAAGTTTAGAATATGCAGCAATTGATGCAGGAATTACATTTAGCTGTGTAACATCTAAACTGTGACAGCTCCTTGGAGAAAAGCGCTCAGATGCACCTTATGGTCATGCCCTTGCCTTGGAGCAGAGCAGGCCACACCATCTGGCCGGGCAACCGTTGATATGTGATGCTTGCCTCATCAAGCTTCCTGTGAGAAGCACTTTCTGGAATGAATAGTGACAGGAGGCAACCTTGCAGTAATTTGCCTATTCCTGCCTCTAATTGGACATGGTGTGAGGTGAATGTGGGAATACTGGATGCCTTCCACACAAAGGTAGGATAATTTCTGTGAATAGCTCTTTCTGATTTAGAGAGCTGCAGTTTAATGATGACATATAGAGAAAGTAAACTATATATTGGGCTGGTACATAAGTACTTATGTAGATGGGGCAAGGGATCCATAAAACACTAAGCGCTATGGTATCCAGCGACCGTGGCTTCCTTTTTATGTTTACTGCGTTTTATGTTCCCCACACGCGACAGGCCAAATGTAGGGGGCGTGACATCCATTAAGATTTTTTCCAGTGGAGAGAAAATGGAGGTTGATATGGGGGAAATCTCAGTAAATAACAGTAAAAAAAAACCAACTGGGTTTCCTGTCACTCTGCATCCAAGGGCTTCTACTCTCAGGGGGCCATTTAGTCAGTGATGCCCAGCAATCACACAGGTGACAAAATCCATCTTGGAAGAGGCAGAGATAACAATTCCTCTGCTGACTGCCATGTCAAGTCATGGTGCTCATGTCAAAACAAATACATTATGTTTAGTCTGACACTAGACAGTTGCCAGATGGAGACTTCAGTGACTTGAAAAGACTGGGATGCACTGAGTTTTCACTGTTACAGTAAGAGAAAGATTAAACAGGGATTTTTATGCTTTGCCTCATTTCCTCTCATGCATATATGTTACAGCGCTGGATGCTCATCTTAAGTGTGGCCAAGATTTCAAATGATGCGAGGTTGAGGTTGATTTTTTCAATTCTTATCTCCATATGATGTCAGTAGAAAAGGATTTACAAAAAATAGTAAAAATTTTTTGCTGTTTTTGCTGTTTAGAGTAGGGCAGCCCATTCAGAGGAAAGTTGTCACTAAGCATTAGCCAAACCTTTTCTGAAAGAAATGAGGTCCCGCACCTCACTTTTTGTCACTTGCAGTGATGAAAATGGTCCGATTATCATTTTGGTGAAATATTAGTCAAGTTAGTAAACTTCAAATGTTTTTGTGATTTGGGAACAGAGCCATGCTCGATGGTTGCATTCCTTATGGTTTGTTATTACAAGGAAACAGACATACAGTGTTACCAATGTTTTTGTTAACTTTCTAGCAACAAAGTCACTAAAGTAAAGCTTTTTGAAAGCTCTTGTAAACGTTTACTGCTAAACTAGTTTTATGACTGTTTAATTGCCTACAGCAGGGGTGTTAAACATCCTGCTGTATCCCAGTGGCCAGAAACGGCCCGGTTTGAGCTCAAATCTGACCCACTGGATGGTTTTGGAAAATGTGAAATATTTTTTAATATGTTTTACAACTTTTACTGATAATTAAGTTATAACCTTTAATACCACACCAAAGTATTTACGTTACCGATAAACAATTTTGCTATTTTGTTAACTACTGACTATAAAAATTGTTTTTTTTAAATGGGTATGGCTAAAAAAAGAAAACAAAGGGACTTTCTGTGAATTAGCAGAAACTGTTTCATATTTACCGGACAGTGAGAGCAATGAGCTACCAGAACTTTGCAATTTAAGTCCAAAGAGTCATGTTGGCAAATTTCCTTTCATTTACCTCAGCAACATTTCTTTATCATGTAGAAAAACTGACATGTACTGTTAAAAAATTGTACTTCTTTTCCTTATAATAAGATATCTACATGTATATTTAACCTTCTTTACACTGACTTCACTGGTCCCGGTGTCCTGCCAAGGTAGGTATCCCCGACAAAATTTGATCCCCCTGCGTCGGGAGCACGCGTTGGGCTCTCCAAATCACAAACAAACAGGATCTCACATTCTTGATTTTTAATTCCCAAACACTTCTTATAATGACTTATTACTCCTGAACCTTTGGAGGTTTTAGCTCTTTAAACAGTAAAGTTACAGGAGGATACAAATAGTTATCAAGCAAAATGTCCTTGGTTTGTTGAAATAATCCCATTGAATACCACATGAGAACAATAAATGTATGATTTTCTGTTGTAACGCTCAACAATGCAATGCAACAACACTCATTTTTCACTTTTTTACAAAACTGAAACATCACTACATTCACGTCTACTTGACTGTAATGGAGGCGGAGTAAACTGGATCCACTCTCCCTGCACAGCGAACGCTCCCGACGCAGGGGAAACAAATTTTGTCGGGGACACCATCCTCGGTACAACATCGGCTCACTTAAGTGGCTAACACTAAGGCCTACAATGTAACAGGAGTTTGACAACCCTGGCCTAAAGTGTGATGGAGACAGATTCCAGTGAGTGAACAGTTAAAGCATCTTTTACACTTTCAAGTCATGTATGGAAAATGTCTCTCGTTATCTACAGATTTTCTGGGAGAGAATTTCCATATTCTCCATCTCGCTTGTTAAATATGAACAAATTGTGCGTGGGAGTTTGCTTCACAACTTGATCCTGGTAAGGATTTTTCGATTTGAAACAATCAATGTGGCAAAAACAAATGTGTCGTGGAAGCATTACAGCAGTGTGTGAACTCTGTTCTTTATTCATGATCTTTCCTTTTCAGCACCTCGACTTCTCTCGAATGCTGAATGTGCTTTTTTATTACCAGTCTTGTGTAGAAACAGCATTGCAAATTCCCCCCACACACATCCCCTGAATCTTACCTGCCACCACTTAAAGGTTTCATCCGAGAGGGCACTGTTCTCTCTGGTCATCAGAGGGTGGATGGACTGATTAAAGCGTTCAGCGAACCACGGGTCATCCTCCAGCTCTGCTATGCACTGACGACAGGCACACAGCCCTTTGGAGAAGAAGTTGTCCGACAGGCGAAATGCGTACTTAAAGAAGTAGAGTGAAGGGTCCCGGAAGGTATAGCTGAACAGGAAAGTTGTAAATGTAATCACACAAAAAAGGAGAGCAAAAGTCCTGATTTTCCTGACTTTGAGCAGAGGCATGTTGTCAATAGTCAAAATCCGCTTGTGGGAAACTCTGAGAGTGCAACAGAGAAAAGCAGCATCACGATAAATCTAGAGTCCAAAAGGTGTGAGAAAAAAGCAAGCCCATTGACCACATGGTACAGGTGACTCAGATGTGTCAAAACACGGCGTCAAAATGACTTACACTGGTGCGGTTATTTTTCAGACAACTCGAGGTTTCAGTCAAAAACGTCCTTAATTAAATCCACCAATGTGACTTCTTTGCAGATTCCTTTCAAATCAAAGGAAGATAAATCTGCTGTGTGGTTCTTCCAGCCTGGTGGTCCCAGGTTTATGAGTGTAAATCCGATTTACTGACTGCTCCAATGTTGACTCTTTGAGGTCAGTGACTGTTGTGTCATCCATTGTTTAATAATCCACCTAGAAGGCAAATAAAATGACATTGTGTAACATAACTTCCTGAATTCCCCCAGCTCACTGACAAACCACTTAAGCGTAGGGTTAGATTGCATTTTATGCTAAGAAAGCCTAGAATCAGAGATTACAACATGTTACCCTTAAAATCAAGTTTTTTTCCACCATTCTGGCCTTAGAGTACCTGTATCATAGGATATCCATTTGTGTGTCAAATAGGAGAATTCCATACATAGGTTTACAGGCAAACCTAATCCTAACCAGCTGCGGTCTCAAGGCTGGAGCCGAACAAAAACACCCTGATAACGACTGTGTTTAGACTGTTCTTCCCATTCCATGCAAGGCCACCTGGGTTGGCTGGAAGACCGTTTACTTAGCCTAGCAGGGCGAAGGACACTGTCTCTGCCGAACTCTGGACACGCACACACATACATATACACTGATATGCACACACTCATCCCCCCTCCCTTTCCAAACGCCTTCGGCGCTTATTCCCTTCTGATGCTGACGGTGGATCAAGGAGACCAGCGCACAGGCTGCAGGCCCGGATATACTGTCTAAATCGGCTGTCTCTCACCCTTTACCCACCCCTGTTGCTTGTCATGTGTTTCTTTGGTGCATTAAGAGTTTTTTTCATGTGCTAGTGTTTTTTTCTGTTCTCAAACTGATCTCCCTGTTGGAGCTCAGTCTGGGGGGAGTTATTTTTTTCTCCTTATTTTTCCTCATGTGGTGCATTTTTCCATTGTTATACCTCTCTGACCTGTCTTCCCCATGTGATGTTTTGTGTAATGTATGTATGGTCAGAGGGTAAGATGGCGCCGCCATTGCGTGCAATAGGTCGGCAGCCTTATGAAATTTTCCCTTGTAGGACTAATAAAGGTATATCAAATCAAATCAAATCAAACACATTGCCAGAAAGCTGGTGGCTCAGTACACATCAAAACACACATTCTTCAAAGCTGCCTTCTTGTAATTTCACAGCACTAACAGTTCCAAGAGGAGACAATTTGCAAGACTGTGAAAAATGTTTTCTTTATTTTTCTGTTGTTGCCAAATTACACAGGATGCATCAAAGTCTCTTAGCTCTTAAAAAAGACCATCATCAAAAACCATAAATGTCTTCAGCAAAATCATATCAGCTTTTCTGGAATTAAACAGGAAACAACCGTAATCCCCTTTTTCATCCCCCCACCCCCCTGTGGCATACATAAAAAGACAGACTGAACATAGAAATCATTGACTAACTGGAGAATAACTACTTTTTGGCTGTAAAACTCCAGTACGAACAGTCACGCTGCTGTTTTCATCCTTGTTTCTTTGCAGACATTAGTATTGCAGTTTTGCACTTGCCATCAGCATGATTAATTAGGAATATCAACAATGAACTAGCTAGCTACCTAGCAACCTGGCCGGTTGGCCAGTCAGCTGGTAAAACATGAGAAACACGAGACAGGCACACCTGGAGTCTGCTAGTTTGCATCGGGGAAACATTTAGATAAAAAACAACTACCCTGCTACATCCAAAGGTGGGTTACCGACAGCAAGACCTGCTTGTCGGTACTACCATGCACTACCGGATACTACCATGCGAGTGGCAACATCAAGGGTTAAAAAACGGAAGGAAATACAGAAGTGCCAAAAACTTCACCTGGCTACTTGAGGCTAGATCCAAAAGCGAGTTACTTCCTATAGTCTGTTATATTAAAATGCTGAACATCAAGCCATTTAAAAGCATGTTTAAAACGTGGTACGAATAATGGTTTGGGCCCTTTGTAGATGGGTTATTGTCCCTCAATCATATTCGATGTGGGCAATACTTCTTTTACAAACATGCATGGATTGCTCGCTATGTGTCAAGTCACTTTTGGTGATTGAAATTCTAGCATTTTTTTATAGTCTCTGACTCTACACTAATTAGCTGATATATGCATCTTTGAATTGCAGCTGTATAATTTATAGGCACAGTTTGCTAACCAAGCATGACAGCATTAGCTTAAAACGTACCACTGCATCCTGTCACCCAAACATGGTAACAGCTGGCTCCAACAACAGTTAAACAAAATAAATAACTTGGCAGCAGGATTAAAAATAATTCTTAGACTTCAAAATGCACAACCCAAAATCAGGGGCTACTGCCATCATTTATATACAGTCTTTGAGACCAGAGAATAGCTAGTTAGTTGGGATAAGCTGACAGATACCACTTTGGTGATATTTACTCGTCTCAACAATCCCATTTTGATGGGAAAAAGGCATCAAGGTACAGATGCATGGGGACAAGTGTTTGGTTGGCCCTAGCTAATTGGATTTGGTGTTAAATCTTTTTTTTCTTTTATAATTAGACACATTCACATTCATTCATCTAGGCAAAATAAGAATATTCCCTTCGGAGGGTAGATTTATGGTGAAACTTCACTTTTAAGGAGACAGCAGATCAGCACATCATTACATCATTGTTACAACATTAGTGGTTATTTGCCTCTCCAGCCAGTTTGGCCTCTTCCTTTAGCTCTAAACACATTTTAAGGTCATGAGTCCACTGTGATTGTTGCAGCAGCTAACGTCTGGATTAACTTGCTTATTTTCCTGAAAAGCCATAACACTTCTGGAAGAAGATAAAAATTGAGATATTTGAGCAACAGGTTTGGTGAAAACCAAATGCAACACATCATACCAACTTTCGAGCACGGTGGTAGAGGCGTAATGATTTGGGCCTGTTTTGGAGCCACAGGAAGTGGGCAACTTGCTGTCATGGAGTTGACCAAGAACACCTCAGAATATCAAAGTATTCTAGAGTCAAATGTGAGGTTATCTGTCTGGCAGCTAAAGCTTGGCCAAAATTGCCTCATGCAATAAGACAATAATCCCAAGCACAGGAGCAAACAGAATGGCTGAAAACAGAATCCAGGAGTTAATCCAAGCATACCTGATCAGGACCATTAGAAAGCCCTACATAACAAACATCTCAAAGAACTGAAGTAACGCAAAAAAGAGTGGGACAAAATTCCACAACAATTTGAAAGACTAATAAAGTCATGCAGAAAATGATTAACTTAGTACTGCTGAAGGTTGTTTTACAAACTACTAAATCATAGAGTGTATTTGGTTTTTTACAGGACTGCTTAGAATCCCGTGAAATGTTCTGTTTTGCATGGCTGTATAATGTATGGTTTCAAAACAAGAGGTTGAACAGAATAAAAATCTGAAAGTCTTTTTTTTCCCCAGAAGGATCAGAAGGGCTTCCCACTGTCCACAGGCCTCTAGGCCAGGGGTCTCGAACTCCAGGCCTCAAGTGCTGGTGTCCTGCAGGTTTTAGATGTGTCCTTGTCCTCCAACACAGCTGATTCAAATGGCTAAATTACCTCCCCAACATGGCTTGAAGTTCTCCAGAGGCCAGTTTTAGATAACCACAGGATGATATCTAAAACCTGCAGGACACCGGCACTCAAGGCCTGGAGTTGCCTACCCCTGCTTTGGGCCAATACCCAGAATACACACTGGATAATCCACAAATCCCAGCAAAATCAAGACCAAAAAACCCCGAAAAAGCAAACAGAAAGAAGAATTTGACCACGGTAATTATTATGTGATATAATATGACAAGCCCTGTGTTAAAATTCAAATACATTTACAGCATGACATGTAGTGTCAGTAAAAGCGTACTCAAACTGCTCCATGAGGGGTGTCTGCTAAAAATAGTTGGGAAGCAATAGTAAAAACCACGTTCAACCTACTACGGAGCCTATAGAGTTATTCAGAAACACACTGCTGATAAAATTCCCAGAATATCATTAAGTATTTTTTGGAGCATGGCTTTTCTTGACGCACAAAGCAGGCAGACCTCCTGGGGTTTCATTTCCAACATGAAAAGGCCACCTCTGCCTTTATCCAGGGCCCGGGCTTCATTGTGATGTGCAGTGGTGTTTAGGATTCCACAAATACCTCTATATTTAGGTAACAGCAGATTTACACTGGAGATAAAATGCATTCATTGCAATGCAGGTCGAAAAAGACATCAGAAAAATGAACCCTAGAAAACATGCAACCTACCCTTTGCTCTTAACAATTTCAGAGCGAGCCTGCCATATAGAAGATCTGTGGGAAACTCCATTACAACGAGAGAAAGGCTGCAGGTCTTTCCTGATTAGAAATTGATCAGGTCATTCAAATTCCACCCTGGAGGGAAGCAAAGAGGATTGGGTTTAAGACTGCCTGAAAAAGACTACACAGCGACACAGCTTGCCTGTTGATTTCATTCTTGCTATCGGAGCAGGAAAACAAACTGTACAGGCATTTATCTGCTGCACTGACACAGACCAATGCACAGGCAGGCTTAGAAGTGATCCTGTCTGCTGTTTGAGAGTCAGTAACTCACGGCGCAGCACACATTTGCATAGAGCCCAAGGTTGGTTATTGTCAAAGGCAGCGAGTTTGACAAGGATACCTGGGGACACGTCTAATGGACATATCAATGAAGACGCCTACTTCTATAAAACAAGCTGTTGACTCCACTCAGTTTGAAGCTCTTTGGCATTAAGGGTGCAGGTAGATGGGAGAGTGAGCAGAATTTATTCTCAAACAGGTGGCGCCTCCCCGCTTTTGACAACACACAGACTGTCATCTCGCTCCTCTGACCTTGTCCGACTGAAGGCTGGCAACCCTGCGTTGATCAAAGATTGCCAAGCTGAGACAGCAAAGCGTCTGTTCACACTTCACAGACTCCAGGGGGGTTTAGGGAGAGAGAGGGAGGGAGAACGAGATGGGGTGGCAAACAGTAAAGAGGGGGAAAAAAAGTGCACCCACCCACCCCCTCCTAATCTTCAGTTCTGAGAAGTCATCAACTTTGCAGGGTGTAGTTACAGTAAAGTGTTTTCAGTTTGTGTTCTGTGGAAATTGTTTTTTCTCTCCGGCTTACCTCTGCCACAATTTTAAAAATCAAAATTCTGCAGTTTTTAAACTCCTTTGTATTATATAGTTGAGAAAGGTATCTGCTGAGCTGAGAACTT